TTTTTTTTTTTTAGATTCCACATATGAGCAATCTCATATGGTATTTTTCTTTCTCTTTCTGGCTTACTTCACTTAGGATGACTTTCTCCAGGGACATCCATGTTGCTGCAAATGGCGTTATGTTGTCATTTTTATGGCTGAATAGTATTCCATTGTATAAATATACCACATCTTCTTTGGTCATCTGTTGATGGACATTTAGGCTGTTTCTATGTCTTGACTATTGTAAATAGAGCTGCTGTGAACATTGGGGTGCAGGTGTCTTTTTGAAGTAGGGTTCTGTCTGGATATATGCCCAGGAGTGGGATGACTGGGTCACATGGTAGGTCTATTGATGGTGTTTTTTGATGAGCAGAATCTTTCAATTTTGATTAAGACCAATTTGTCATTCATTCTTATACTGACAGTAAGCAGTAGAAAAGAAAGTAGGCTAGGTAAATTTGTCAACCTAATTTACAAACATGTCATTGCATAAAAGACCAAAGATGAGACCTTTGTGTTTGCTTTCTATTATTTACTGTTTCCAAGAATAGATATATGATGTAATTAATTCTTGAAAAATATGTTTGGAATGGCAACACAACTCTGCTGCTTAGCGTTGATGAAAACAAGTTTTTGTAAATAAAATTGGTGCTTCTTTTCAAATGTAGATTTCCAAATTTATACCCTTAATGACTTTTGAAAAAAAGAGTATGCCAGCTGAGAGAGCAAAACCACCTCAAGGAAAACATTTTGGAACTAATATATATATATAAATTAAAGTTAAAAATAAAAAATTTAAAGAAATTGATCTCCAGGGAAATGTGTGTGTTGTGTGTATGTGTGTGTGTGTTTGCATTTGAACAGAAGTCATCCTAGCACCGTCCTTCCTTTCAAATTTTCTTGAACCTCAGACATCAGAGAACCTGCAAAATGCACCCATGTGACTCTTTCTAAAGACAACTCTTAAAGGGAGACACTGAAGAAAAAAATTAATCTTAATTTGGATTTGTCTTTTTCTATGATTATGCACTTGTCTTTTAATCAGACCAGTGCCTCCCATGGTTGTTATTTCACAATTAAGAATGCACAAATTATAATATGTAGACTTTGTGTTGAAAAAAGGATTATCATCTTGGAGCAAAACTCTATTGGCCTGACTCTAATAATGTCAAGATAAGCTTACAATTCAAAAATGATTATTTGAATGATGTTTCAGATATTTTATTTCTTGATTGCTTTATAGTATTAAAAACCTGAAGCCAGTATCTCTGTTCCAGTAATAAGGTTATGCCCAAGGTGAGGAAGAAAACAAGACTTAAGCAAGGAGCTAATAGCAGATACACTGTCATCTTTAGTGGGGATATTCAAATTTGATCTTATGCATGCATTAAATGGTTCATCTGCATTTTCTATTGAGTGTCAGAGCAGCATATAATTAAGAGAAATTGTTTGTAATTGTAGAGTACTCCATCAGAGCTTAATAATCTTCTTATGCTTTGTTTAATGTTATTTAAAATGTCTCATTCTGTAGAAAGGGTCTTGCTCTCTTTCAAAGAGGGCTAGCTGTGTCTAAGGACAGGTTTCAGAATTATAGAGGGTTGGTTTTATATAGATGTTATAAATTAGTAAACAGTTATTAGCTGGTTATCTAATAAAAGGAGAGTAGATTATAATAATTTATGCAATTGGATAAAGGGAAAACTGCTAAGAGAATGAAACAAATTTTTTTTTCTTATTTTTCATCTGTACCACTGGGGTCTGCTATAAGTATCCTGTATTTGGCTTTACAATCAGAGAGAAAGCATTGAAGCTGTCATAAAGGAGATTGAAACAGAAAGACAGAAGGATATCTCTTATGGACTGAATTGTATCCCTCCAAAATCCATATGTTGAAGCCCTAATACCTAATGTAACTGTTTTGGAGTTAGAGACTTTAAGGAGGTAATTAAGGTTAAATGAGGTCATAAGAATGGGGCCCTAATCAAATAGGATTTGTGTCCTTATAGGGAGTGGGAGAGACACCAGAAGTACATGTACAAAGAGGACAGCCCATGAGAGGACACAGTGAAAAGGCAGCCATCTACAAGCCAGGAAGAGAAGTCTCACCAGAAACCAACCTTGCTGGCACCTTGATCCTAGATTTCCAGTTTCTAGAGCTGGGAGAAAATATATTTCTGCTATTTAAGCCATTCAGTCTGTGGTATTGTGTTATGGCAGACGGAGCCCACTAATACAAGAGATGAGTAGAATCTTGCCCCAGAAGTTTTAACTCTCTCAGTATAAATTAAACCTGTATCAGCTGGACATAGCCAACCTTGCTTTACTTTTATATTCATAGGTAATTATTATGTTACTCAAATATGTATCAACATTTAGAACAACATACTGCATACAATAATTTTTAGTTTATAAAATATTTTCATTTATTAACTCACCTTATTATTAGGGAATGTGATATTCTTGTAAAGTCATATTCTGATCCCCCTATTTATCCTAATTAAGTCAGTTAGTATGAACACCTAGAGAAATCTATGGATAAAGAAGCAACACATTAGCATCCTGCTTTGTAGCCAATGAGGCAATAGAAAGAAAGATGATTTACTAATAGGTTAGAGACTTGCTACTTAAAGTGTGGCCCATATATCAGTAGTATCAGCATGTACCTGGAGGTTGGGCAGAAGGGTGAGTCTCAGGCTCAGGCTCCACTCCATACCTACTGAATCATGACTCAGTGATACAGCACCTCAGCCATGTTGGTATGGCTCTTATCAAAAAGACAAGAGATGACAAGTGTTGGTAAGGATGTGGAGAAATGGGAGTCCTTGTGAACTGTTGATAGTAATATAAATTGGTACAGTCACTAAATGGAAAACAGTATGGAAGTTCTTTAAAAAAGTAAAAATAGTACTACCATATGATCCAGCAATCCCATTTCTACATATATGTCTGAAGAAAATGAAATCACAATAGTCATGGAAACAACCTAGTGTCCATCAACAGATGAATGGAGAAAGAAGATGTAGTGTGTGTGTGTGTATGTGTGTATAATATATATATATATTATATAATATATTTGTGTGTATAATATATATATATTATATATAATAATATATAATATATATTATATATAGTGTGTTTAATATATATATTATATATTATTATATAATATATATATATATATATAATATATTTGAAACAAAACAAGTTTTTTCTTATTTTTGGTTGAAATACCATTCAACCATTAAAGAGAAGGAAGTACTGCCATACAAAAGTATTAAGTTAGAGCCCTTTCTTATACCTTAAATAAAAATAACTCAAAATGGATCATAGATGTATGCATAAGAGTTAAAACTATAAAACTCTTAGAAGAAAATTTAGTAGTAAACTTTGTGACTTTGGGTTAGGCAAATCCTTCTTAGATATGCCATGACAGCACAAGTGGAAAAATAAAAAATGGATAAATGGGACTCTATCAGAGTCTAAAAGTTTTGTTCTTTAAAGGATACTGTCAAGAAAGTGAAAATAAAACCTATGTAATAGAGGAAATACTCACAAATAACATCTGATATGAGATTTTTAGATCTAAATTATATGATGGTCTCTTACAAGTCAATAACAAAAAGATAGTCCATTTTAAACATGGGCAAAGGATCTGAATAGACATTTATCTTAAGAATATACACAAATTCTCAATAAGCTCATGGAAAGATGCTCAACATTATTAAACTTTAGGAAAATGAAAATCTTAGTATATGTGCTGCCAAATCAAGAACAGGGAAATGAAAATCAAAGCCAAAATGAAATACCGTATCATACCCACTAGGATGGGTATAATCAAAGAAAGTAATTTGAGAAATTGGAACCCTTACACACTGCTGATAGGAATGTAAAATGATACAGGAACATTGGTAAACAGTCTTTTAGCTCCTCAAAGATTGAACATATATTTATCATATAACCCAAGGATTCCACTCTTAGGGCATATACCCCAGAAAAATGAAAAGCCATGTTCCCTCAAGAACTGGACAGAAATACTCAAGACAGCATTATTTATTTATTTTAACAGCATTTTATATTAGCCCCAAAGTAAAAACCACCCAACCCACATGTCCATCAATTGATGAATAATATGTGATCTATCCGTATAATGGAATGTTGTTCAGCAATATAAATGAATATAGTACTTGTACATGCCACAGCACAGATGAATCTTGAAAACATTACTCTAAATGAAAAGTCAGTCACAAAACATCACATTCTGTATGACATATAGAGACAGAAAATAGATTCACTGTGGTGTAGGATTGGGGGTTTGGGAGGATATGGAGGGGGTGATTATTAAATGGTAAAATAGTTTTTTGGAGGGATGAAGATGTTCTAAAATTAATTGTGGTTATGATTCACAACTTTGTGAATATACTAAAAAACATTGAATTGTTTTCAACACTTTAAATGGGTGAATTATTTGCCACATTAATTATATTTCAATAAAGGTATAGTGTTAAAATTTCTAACGTTTTCTTCCTTCATCCCAGACCAACAAAAATTTCTACCCAAGGACTAAAGAGCAATGATTTAAAAAAAAAATTGTGACCTGTCAAGTGTGTTTGTTTACTTCTGTGTTATTTTGGCTTTTGCTGTAAACTTTTCAATTGTATGTTAAACATGAAACTATTCTTAACTTTTTTTGTGTCTGTAAGTGATTATGTAAATATCATAGCTTTAGAAAAGTTACATTAATTATTTGCTATGAAAAAGGTGAAATTCAGAGCTAAAAGGTTTTCTAGAACCATCATCAAAGTCTTCAAAGTGGAGAATGAGAAATGAGAAAAATATAATGTGACAAACACAAAGAGGAAGAATTAATAGAGTCTATAAATTCAAACCAAAAAAACAACAGAAGCATTGTGAACCTGAAATTGCAACATTATGTCGTAAAACCTAGAATTTCTACCTCTAGCTGTAACTTAGGTGCACCTATGAAGAATAAAACATTTTCATCTATATCTGTCTAATAGATTGACCTCCTGAAAGGAGTCATGAGGAGGAGACCACACAGAAGTTCAGACCTTTTGATTTTCTTCTTCAGGTAATGAATTCATTATTCCTTACTGTATCTTTGTATGTGAAAAATACAGTTCTTGCTCCAATATGGCAGGCTGAATCATTTGGAATTGCAAATCCATTAGTGCTGTCTAATTTTAAATTAGACTATGTCTTTGAGTTTTTTAAAACAAGGACATGTCACTTGAATGACAGCTCAAAGTTTATGTTTCGTATGTTTTCTACATGTTGGGCCTATTCAGAATCCAAAGCAAGACAATAAGAATGAGACTTTAGCAATTGACAAAGTTCTAGAAGGAATAATTAACTTTTACTTGAAAGAAGGATTAGAGTTAGCAAAAATAAATAATCAAGCAAACAGAGACATACAGTGCTAACATTCTATCCTCATCCAAAATGCTGAAGCTTCAGTAGCCTAGAATTTGTTATATTCCACTTAAAGATAATACTGTTGCGTTAGCATGAAACTCTGACACTGTGCCAAGTTGTTGAGCGAGCACTGATTTTCCCAAGTGGGAAGGATCGAGCATCTCACGACTAGTAATCTGGATCGCTGAATACCATTGCTCCATTGCTTTACAATATGCTTGATTATGGATCAGTGGTGTCTAGCTAGCTACTAGATTGCTTGTCTGTTGTTTTCAGGTAGCAAATTTCAGGTAGCTCAGTAACAAAAGTTTATATCAATGTTCAAAATTTAATTACGCTTAGCTTTATGAAACCAGAGATTTGAAATCTGAGGTTTTAAGTCATCTAGGGAGAATTCTAAGTTAAAAAATATAATTTGGGCAATTTTTTGCTCCTTTATCCTAGGATGACCTAGACATTATCTAGGTGTCACTATTTCTAAGGGGTTTTCTTTCAGGTATATTTATATGCAGGCAGGTCTAAGCTGCTAGCCTGATGTTGGAAACCTCCCAGTGAAGGTGGCGTTTTCTCATCTCTGGCTTGTCTTTAGGCAAGATAATCTTATCTCACTGAAATTAAGAATATTTTATAAGGACTTTGGATTTTTAGAAATGAAAAGGAGTAATAACATTTGGTGACACTTACTAACTTGCATAGCTAATCAAGTGCCAGACCTAAAGGCTGGGAAAAGAGATAGGTAAACGCTGCAGTTTACAAATGGTTAATCCTTCATTGCTCCGTCTTTTAGATTTTGCCTGGAAGGGGCTCTGGAATTAATTTTATTGAGGTAGGCTGTGAAAAGAAGGATGTTTAATAAGACAGAGACTTGGCTTTGAATTCCAGCTCTGCCTTTGACTGTTTCTCTTGGACATTTCATATAATCTCTCTCAACTCAATTTCCTCATCTAATGCTACTCACTGCACAGCATGGTAGTAGGGGTGAAATGTGACAACCCAGGTTTAGCACACAGCAGTTGTAAAAGGTGCTCCACAAGTGTTCGTTCCCTTTGTGTTTCTGTGGAATCTGTAGGATATCCCCTGACTTCATTTTCTTCAATAGTCACAAAAAATGGGAGCGGGAAGGGGAAGGGGGGGATTCCATCCCTGCTATAGGAAAGAAGGTCCAGAGCAATGTCTTCAAAGCAAAGGTGAGGGCTATGCTGGAAGAACACCCCCTTCCTGGCTCCTATGAGCAGCAATTTCATCTTACTCTTCTCTAAATAATGTTCCAGCTAAGTCGTGATGGACTGTTTCTCTGATCAGGCTTATACAGCAAATATTTGTACTGGAGGTAGAGGGTTGGATGACTGACATACCAGGTTCTAAAATATTCTGGCTAGTAAGGTACACATTTTTGTTTTGTTATGTCTCTCATTTTCTTTCTCTACTTTTCCCTAAGATTCCTAGCAAGATAATGTGTGCACGTATACAAGGATGCACACGCATACATGTATAAATGCCATTTTATTTTAATTAAATGCTTATATAAGCTGGCATAAACGGCTGTGATTACCATGATTATGCACACCTTTTCATCTCCATCAGAGGCCGACTTATAACCAACCTAGAATTTTTCATGGCCTTTAATTCCATTGCTAACAATTCTCCACTGCCATATACCTGCTGCCTTCTTAGTGATTACCCCACAGTTTCCTGAAAAACGGAACATTCTAGCCCTCTTTCTCTCTGACATCTCTGTAAACCTCGCTGGGTACTTCTACTCTTGGCTCCTGACTGTAAGCATCTTATTACAAAGTTTTAGCATCCTCTTGTTCTGCAAGGCATACCTTTTAAATCTCTCATGACTTGCCCACATATTTATTTGGAGTCTTAATTTATACCCATCTTCCTAACTACTTGCGGGGCACCTCAAATTCTTCAAATATAAAACCAAACCAATCTTATTGCAGTGCCCTCCCCATTTCTAGTCTCTGTTTCTTTCCTGTAACACACACTCACAAAAGTATCTGTGGCTTTTTAAATTTTTAATTTATCTTTTACTTTCTTCTCTTATTTATTTTTTTCAACAGCACTAGTCGTTACCTGAAAATATTGGAGTTTCCATCCTCTACTCTAAGGAAGACGTTAGAGTGATTCCATCTGTCATATCCAATTTTTTATTAAAATACATTCCTAGGATTAGAAGGTCAGCACCTACATTTTTAAGACTGAATTGCCATATTTGTCATTTTGTGAACTCTATTCATTCAGAGCTGTTTAGCAATTATCCATACAATTCGTTCAATATTTCTAAGGTTGTCTTAATATTGTAACACTTTTATGCACCTGTTCTCCAGAACTGGATGCTAAACTCTTAAGTGGCATTGTTATGATCTAACGCACCAAGGTTCCTCAAATCTGGTGACACCCCGCATCCAAAACAGGTCATTTACTGATGCTTCTTTAATGCCACCTTTCTTAATATTTTTGAGTTGTGCTGGTCTCAAAGTATAATTAATTAAATAATAAATCTCATCAGTGCTGTGTGATCTGATGACTAAATTCAGTGTGTGGCTACTTCAGTCAGATATTTTATGTATTTCACACCCTAATCAATTTTACATATTTTTGTTTTCTCAGATCTGAGGTTTAATATATCTTACATACTAATGAATAATAATTAAATATCACACCTAGTTTATTTATCATGTTTATCATACCTGGTTTATTTTAACATGTCTAGCAGAGAAATGGGCTTATAACTTGAGGTAAAAGTGTCAAAGCAATATTCTGCCAGCTAGTCTGTTTGGTAAGTTGGATTTTTGCTCAATACCTAATGAGAAGTTAACACAACTTGCTTCTTTTTTTAATTACTAACATTCTCAATGCCTGACATATAATAGGGACTCAAAGTTTGTCAAATAAATGAGTGAATGAAGAGATTCGAATCAAATATTCAAAGTAAGTGTAACTGCTGTTTTTCAACCAAGTTACTTTAACAAGGTAATTTTCCCACTTGTGGATGAGTTTCTGGAGTTTAATTCAGTCAGAAAAAGAGAAATTATATTTGCTTGAGAATAAATGACCCTTTCTCATATGTGTTAGTATGAACTTTCATTGTCATTAGTTTCACAAAGCACCGATGGGCAGTTTTAACATCCTCAATATTTTAAGGATTATGCTCTTTGCATAGCACTGGCCATTAGGCTCAACTACAAAACCTGTAAGTGGTTGGCGTCATGTTAGCTTTTAAAGCTACAGCAGTCATTTTGGTGAAGGAATTATCTTTTAACCCGCAATGATATTCCTCACTATTAATTCCAGTGCTGAGAATTACACCAGGCTTAACCATGAGCCACTGGTTATAGTGGATGAAATATTCTTTCTTAAATGACCAACTGAATTGCAAAGTACATCTTGATTAAGATGGCAAAAAGTTATACACATGATACTTGTAACTGTAGATTTTACTTCGCACCTATCCCCAGTACTTTGTGTCAGTTCAATTCTCATGCACCCATATTTGCATTAGTCTCACTCATTTTTTGCCTCAATTTTTCAAATGCCTGTGCTAAAATATAGAAGGATAAATCAGATGTAATTTTACATACAACTATAGAATTAATTTTATTTCCTCAACACTAGGAACCAATAGATGAGGTAAAGTTGTGGAAAGTATGTGAAACATCTGGGCCTATGTTTGGGAAATTAATTTCAATTGAGGTTATCTTCCAGTTCTTTGGGGACAGTTTTTGGACTTGCCTCAAATTTTGTTTCTTCTTATTTTCAAAAATATTACACTCGTTTTTAAAATTTGTTTTTCTTTCTGCTGCCTGATTCAGTGATTTCCATTATTCTGTCTTCCAGATCATTTATATATTCTTCTGTATCACTAAGCCTGTTATTTATTTCTTTTAGTGTGTTTTTTAAGCTAGTGAGTTCAAGATTTATTCACCACTCCCCCCATGTTACAGCAGATTTG